GAGTAGTGAGAACCGATTTTTATTATCTCCAGTGTCAAGTCCTGTATAGTGGCGAACTAGGGGATATTTCAATAAAACTTAGCAAATAGACGTAATTCCACGTACTTTTGAGATCGGTTTTTTTAGTACTCAGTACTGAGATTATTATGAATATAAATTTAGACAAAATGCCTTTTGGGAGGACCTTGAAATTTCCGATACGGACCGTGGTATTAGGGCCGCGTGTATGGACCAATGTGACAAAAGAGTGCTGTGACATATAAGTTTACATGACGACTGGTGAGTTCAACGACTCCCAAGTACCTACCTTTATCACACTGGCGTTGCCGGTGCATTGCGTCGTCGCAACGCTATGATTTCAAATGACAGCCGGATAAAAGGGCTAACTGAAGGCTCTTAACCGATTAAAATAAACTAAAACTAAACTAAGTAACGGACCAAGTGCACACGGACCTCAGAACAGGACGCTACAGAGAACTTTCATCAGAAGGGCGTGATGTAGGAGTTACCTACTAGTGTACGTGTTGAAATGGGGGGCTCCACGACCTCGCCGCCGAAGGCGGTTGCTATGAGTGGAGTGTGACTGACTAGCGATCTGGTTGGCCTTCAAAGCGTCGTCAAGGTCGATGGATGGAGCCACCACAACGGAGTTACGGTGGTGAGGAGCAGAGTCGAAGTACTTCCCCGATGCCTGTTTTATGAATTGAGCTATTGTGCGTAGCCGTAAATCTATACGTCGCAACGTAACACCTCTTATCTACACACCCCAGCACTCTTCCCCGCCTCGTCTCCTAGCATCTTGTCTGATGCGCATGCGTGCCGTCGTCGCACGCCGTGTCAACGCATCATGTGGCATGTAGTTCTAATTCTAAAAAGACGTGGCAGTGCTCTGACCAGAATGTACTATATTCTCAAACTTGCTGTTCCAATGTTAGATACTTTACATAAAAACTGTACCATTTAAATCACCAGTAAATTATACGTTTCCATTCGTTTTACATGTCTCGATCGGGGTCTTGCTGAAGCAGTATTCTTTGTTGTTTAACATTCAAGAGGTTTCGGACTATTTCGTTGATCACACGTATTATTAATCGACTTCAAAAAAAGGAGGAGGTTTTCAATTCGACTGTACTTTTCTGTGTACATGTTCCACGATTATTTCGGCATTTGTGAACCGATTTTGTTGATTTTTTTTGTTGGAAAAATGGTACCTCAAAATGGTCTCATTTAAATTTCAACAAAATATTTCACCTTTACGGCCGCCTTCCACAACGAGCGGAGTGAGCTCCTTACGGACTGCGTTTGTAAACTTCATAGAACTTCTTCCACTGCAAACGAGTGAGAGGAGTCGAAAGAGTCACAAAAGAGATCGCGAAGTTGAGCGAGTTTCCAGCGTAGTCCGTGCGGACTCCGTTTGACTCGTTACAGTAAATTTCTTGTGCTTCCACCTTTAACGAGTAAGGAAAGCGGCCTCGGCGAGTTAAGATGGGTCCGCTGTGTCATTGTGACGCCCGCTAGTTTGAGTGACTCCGCAAAAGCAATATATAGGTATAAGGACGTAACGTGCTCAGAAGGAAAGCGATTTGTGATATTTTTAGACTACAACTTTCCTGCAATAATTATTTTACCTAATATATTCAGAGATGCATAATAAATAAATTAGAGAGATTGTTAGGGTGCAGAAAATGGGATGAAATAAAATCCATAACGTTTACTGTGTCTTAAAACATTGATACTGATTTTTTTAAACAAAACACAAACTGAAACTAATTTTCCCGCCGCCTAGCTCGCTCTGCTAAGCCCGCTGATAATGGAAGGCTAACAACTCGCTCATATGACTCATCTCAATTCCCGCCTAGCTCACTTCGCTTAGCCCGCTGGCTGTGGATACCTCTTTTCTGTGAAACTCTTTCTTGGTGGAAAGACTAAACTATTTTACTCCGCTCTATTCAACTATTTCCCGCTCATTTCCCTTTCGCCGTGGAAGGCTGAGAATGTCAAAGTAGGGGATGACTCCGGTTTCCCGATTGCAATAAAACTTCCCAAATAGATGTAATTCCAATAAAAAACCGATAAGCATACTTTTGAAGTCGTTTTTTTAAAAGAAATTATTATATTAATTTGAAATAAATAAAACGTTCGCTACATTGCCTACAGTTAACTAACTACCCGTTTGCCGTGTTTTAAACACTCTTTAAAGAGACTTATTTCTATCTACAGGCGGTTTTTTCATCTGAGCAATCCAGATTTCGAGCATTAAATTTCAATCAACATTTGTTGGTCAGGCGGCGGTAGTGGCGTGTCTAATTGTTATGATGTCTTAGTCTTCAGTAGTAGAACGGGCCAGTACATGGTTACGAAGAGAAGGAAGAGTGCAGGGAATACCACACGTGAGAGTTTGTCGATCTCCCGCCAAAGGACCCTCTCCTGTCCCGTGTCGGCGTCTAACCAGGCAACCTGTAATAAAATTAGAAGAGTCTTTGAATTGCTCACTGTAAATCACGAATTTATATAATACACTGGTTTCAACAGAGTTGATCTCGGCAGAATCCGTCTCAAAACAGACCAGACTTCTCTTCAATGAAACTCGTAATCTTCGTAATCATCCGCCTATTGAAGTTTTTTATTGTATGTGTGGACTGTATACACTTCTATTCTTGAACGAACACCTTATCCTTATCCTTATCCTTATGTCTATCTGACTTAGTTCTGTAATGTGACAAGTCACAAATATGAATGCACACACAATGTTCTTACAAGTTTCTCATATATATCTATGCCAATACAGCGTCTCCCACACCGTACCGGCCCTAGTAATGCGCCGCAGACGCCACCCGGCCAATCAGAGTCCCTGAATTATTTACACAATTCTACTTATATTGCTCTGACTGGCCAAGTCAAGACAAAAATCAAAATATTTGGTTTTTTGCTAGGAATTAATTTTTTTATGATAAGCTGAGCTAGCTTGGCTAAGCTTACCGCAGGGCGTGTTCTCGCAATTGCAATACCATACAGATCTTTAAATCGCCCGTCACCCAGAGTCATAAGTTGACAAGTCCCATATGCCTGTAATTTCACCAGCATCCTTACGCTTTGAAACCGCAACGCAGTAATGCTCACAACATCGAGTATAGGTTATATACTCGATGGCTCACAAAGTCAAAGTTAAAGAATAATTTAATAAATTTACACTTGAAAACGTCACTTTTAAGCAATTCTTCGTTCGCTACGCTGACGTCCCTGAGAAGAACGAGCAAGAAACTCTAGGGATTGCTCTTTTCAAATAAACTTAAATGCTGTGGAATACACTTTGAATCAAATTTGTGTGGATTCTATAGCCATGTCGTCTTTCCATATATCTTTATCTAACACGTATTCCTCAATTTTGTAATATGACATTTTAAGTAGGAATATAATTTAGTAGCAGTAGAGCTCTTTGTGAAAGAGTTCGTCCAGGGAAGTAGTGCCACCTTGCCTATTTCTGCCGCCAAGCAGTAATGTCAGCATTACTGTGTTCCGAAGGGTAAGAGTGCTGGTGAAATTATAGACACATGAGATTTGTCAACTTATCTCTCAGGGTGACAGGCGCAGTGACAATGCCCCTCAGACATTTGCGAATTAAAGTTCTGAGTTTCACTGCAACTGTTATAGACAGGCGTGTAGTTTACCATCAGTATATAAATAATAATAAAAAAGGAATTAATAATCACTTATTTTTTAATTTTAATAACATGGGGTCGTCTGTCCACCCAGTGTTATCATTTTATTTTTTAAATTCTCCATCCTAACGAATTCGACAACTAATTTTTCAAATTTTGTGGTTATTGTAAGTAGTGGCATTTTAAAGTAAATATTAAATTATACAATGTAGCGCTGGTCAGCGGAAAGGGTTGCATAGTACGACGAATTGAGACGCAAATTTCCGTGTAGGAAGGCGTACATTATCAAAATGGGTAAATTTACAGGGTTATGGACACAACAGTATGTCTCACTAGCGTGACCAAATCGTCTCAACAACTTGAGTGCCTTTTAGGGCCATATACAACAAACCATATGAGATGACTTATACTATAAGAGTTAACAAAACGATAGCGCGTTTCAGGGTACAACTAATGCCATCTAGCGGTGACGCGACGGAACTAATGGCGTGTTAAAATTGTGATTGTTACAAAATATTTTTTGCTAACAGACGCTACCAACATTGTCTGAGACATAAGTTGACAAGTCCCATGTGCCTGTAATTTCACCAGCACCCTCGTTAGTCTTCAAAACCAGAACACTGTAATGCTAACATTACTGCTTCGCGGTAAAAATAGGTAAGGTTAGGCAGGCAGTACTTCCCTGGATGAACTCTTTCGCAACGAGCTCTATTGCTACTAAAACTGGTTAGTACTGGTTCTCTCCTATACCGATTTGATTGTATAAGTCAACACGTCTAACAAGTTGGAATTTATAGTTCAAAAAGAATTTGAACATTTATGGATCTCTCGGATATGTACGAGAACGGCAAAGTTCTTTGTCGTTTAAGCAGTATGAGCATTTAAATTTGCATTCGTATTTTACCTCATCAATGGGATGTATAGCAATATTAAAGTAACCACTGCTATCAAAATTGGTACAATTTTTATTGCGGAAATTACTATAACCAGATTATTATTTATATTGGTTTTCGATTGTAAATTCAATGGACATCGCATTCATTGATGCTTTAATATAGCATAAAGCTACAAGCCTATTGTAAACAAAAATTCATTTTGTCAAGTCCATTATTAACTTTTAGAAGACAGTAAAGTATATATACCGACTGGAAGAAAATCAAAGTTTATAATTCATTCAAATTTGCAAAGTCAATCTTTTGTGTTGTCAGAATTACAGACTAAGGCTCTTAAAGAACAAATATCTAAGTTTCAACACCGACGGTTGTTTTCTTCTAAAAGTTTCATGTTTTATCTGTGCTTGTAAGGAAATAAGTAAAATTTTACCAAGTTGCCACGGTATACTATGTTAACTAAAATCTAAATGACGGCGACTCGATTTGCAACATGTCACAAAAAGCGGACAGCAAAATGCCGCTTTGCTACACTTAAGACGTGAAAAGGGATGGATAAAATTGATAAAATGTGAGATTATCAATGATGGATATATAAAAGTATCATATGTGAATAAACCATTAAATACGGTAAATATACCGCGTACCACTCGGAAGTACCCAAATGTAGGGACCGTTCAGGTGAAGTGTTCCTTCGGTTAGAATGGAGTAAAGTGAGTGTAAATTCGTAAATCCAAGACCTCTTTGGATAAGATTCAGAATCGTATTGCTCAACTTGTTCGGAATGATGCTAATCAGCTCAAAGTGAAAAAGATAAGCTTTAGAATAATGTGAGGTATGTTTAACGAAAAGTAAGGTTGTGTTAAAGACTAAGGAGTCTCAAGTACATAATGATGTACAGGCAGGAGTGAAGCGTGAAAGTAAGTGCAAATGAAAGAGTGTGTTCACGTTCATGTGACATGAACAGACAACCTGACCGGACATAAATTTGCTACGTGACCATAATAGACTAATCATCAGTGCACTGACTGAATAGCAATGTGCAAGACCAGTCTGCTGAGTGGACGTTTCCTTTGTTTCACATTTAAAAATAATACTGTAATATACACGCTCATATGTATATAGAATTTGTATAAATAGTCTAGTTTTTAGAAATAAAGATCTCTTTGAATCCAGACATCATCACTGTCTCATTGACGACGGAACTCTCCTGAATATAGCAACCTCTCACTGCGGCCAAAACCCCTTTAGCCTCAGTTAATGTCAGCTTATCTGATCAGGCTTGTGAGTCTGTGAGACAGGTAGTAAAAACATCCCCTCCCCTTATCCTTCCCACCTTCCGTCTGTTACCTTAGGGCGTACGGTAACAGCCTTCCTCGATCTACATTGTATGTATATATAATAGTGTATGGTTAAGGATAGGTCGTTAGGCAGGAACGTAGAGTTGTTTGTGATAGGTTACAGCTTTCCCTTATCAATTCATGTATAGCCAGCTACCTTTAATTACATACACAAGACGATACTCAACAGTTACACTCAGATCACACCCAACAAATACTATGCAAAGACAAAGATAAAGTTAGTTGGCTTTATAGAGTGTTAGTGAGTTCTGGTGATAAATTAAGGACTGATAATTGTCTAAGAGTTTTAGATGGATATTTGGGACAGAAATTTTTGTTTGATAACATTGACTTACAATTATATGGACGTCGGGTCCGCGCTAAAAAGTATCCGAACTTATAGGGCGGTAAAATCGTATACAGAGCGTCATTCACGCTCTAGTCTTCGTTTGTTCGACTGACAGCGAAGCAAGGAAAATTAGACAGTACTGCGATGACATTACAATTTAAATTCAACGTTTTAGCTTTTTCATATTCCTTGACATGTCACTACGTTTAAATAGGTTGACTTGGGACATTTTTTTCGTGGTTTTTGTATTAGACCCGTCGTCCATTTATTTGTAAGTCAATGTTTTGTCTTAGGAAAGTTTTTCCGGATTTAAATCGCGTATATTTGTTTTTTCAAACAAACCGACGTTTCGGGCCCTTTACCCAGAACTCGATAATGTTTTGTCTCATAAAGATCCACATGCTTAGATAGATAGAGAACACGATTTTATTATTTTGTCCGTCAGAGTTAAAAACAAAATTGTGGATACACGAGCAAATCGCAGAGTTGACATCGGTACAGACCAATATCTGGTAATGAGTCGATTGAGAGCTTTTATTAAATGTTGGCGACATCGCATACAGCCACGGAAGAAAAAAACAACGGAAGTGCTTTAAGCCACGATAATAATATAACCGATGTCACCAAAACTCACACATTAGTAATTTGAAACACTACAGAGTCTTGATGTTAATTAGTCGTGGTTTCAAATTTAAAAAGAAATAACAAATTCTGGATTGTCAATATAATTTAAACTTTACCCTTTTGGAATATCGTTGAAAGTTCAATCCAATCGCCATCAATACATATTATTGCATTGCAATCTACAATGTTTTGATATTTTATTGAAATTTCAATCAATGTACTGCCATCTAGCGTTTAATTGTTGAACAACGATGAATCGGAGTTATTAATATAGTTCTCCAAAAAAGAAGCGTCCATATTGCAAGGGTACTAAGCTTTATTTTCGTTTCTTATAACAAAAAGAACATTTCGATAAACAGAAAATTGAATATTTATTAAAATAAGACCTTCTGATGATACGAAATACGACCATGGGTTTTTTTAAAATTTATTGCTGGCCATGGAAACAAAGTCCTTCAGCCGAAAACATAAACGTTTAATTATATTTCTGTAAATATGGCCACCACAAAGAGGATAGGCAATTTGAGGCGGCGTGCTTGGATTGACTCGGGATTCCTTAGAACGGGCCGATACGGGTATTTTAGTTCGAGATTCGTATAATTTCGCGTTTTGATCTTCGATTAAGGCACAATAGCACTATCCTATTCCACTTTAAACTAGATTTCACAAAATAATTGAAAGTCAAAATAAAAACGACACTTTTCCCTCCAAAAGGCCCAGAGCGAATCCTACGACCACGAGTAATATTTTGGTGTAGCTATCATTTTTGCACTCCAAACAGCACAATAAGGTATTTTTCTAGGATTTTAGAGAATTTGCACTAGAGAATGACACAACCATACCACACAAAGCGAAAATGGCAGACTGAGATTACATAGATTTTTCGAGACCTTATAGTTGGCACGCGTCAGAGTCAAAGTCAAAGTCAAAGTCAAAGATGATTTATTCCATAGGTAAAATAAATTTACACTTGAAAACGTCACATTTAAGGTACTGCTCGTTCACTACGCTGACCTCCCTGAGAAGAACGAGCAAGAAACTCTAGGTATTGCTCTTTTCAAATAAACTTAAATGCTATGGAATACATTTTGAATCAAATTTGTGTGGATTCTGGAGCCATGTCGTCTTTCCATACATCTTTATCTAACACGTAGTCTTCAATTTTGTAATATGCTTTTTCGATCAAAATATTTTTAATGTACTTTTTAAACTTAGGAAATGATAAACTTAATATATGCACCGGAATCTTATTGTAAAAACGTATACAGTTCCCCATAAAAGAGTTGTTTACCTTGGTTAAACGAAATCGTGGTACCATGAGTTTGGACTTAGCTCTAAGGTTAATAAGACGCTAGCTAACCACTTCTACTTTATTTATTGTTTTGTGCATGCAGCAGTCTACAACAGTCTTAGAAATAAAAACGTGGAATCAATGGTTATTTTATTTTTACTTGTTTACCCAGCGATGGACAGTATCCAGGTCAATCTGTTTAAATTATTAATGTACTACCAATATTATAACATGACCAAATCTGTACCTATTGTTGTCATTCGCTACGTGTTAGTAGTTATCACAGACCAAATAAATACTAGTAAGTAGTTATCGTGTAAATAGCTTGCAGGCAGCATAAACACTACTTCTGAACGTAACTTGTGACCTTTTGGGTTTTGATCAAGTTTTGGCTACTGAAGTTCTAGCGAAAACGTTAACAAAGGGAGTGTTGATTATAAAATATTAGGTAACTAAGTGTATGTTTATAATTTACAATTATAGCACACGCTTTTTGTACCTTTTTACAGAATAATAATACAAAATAAATTATAATTATCGCTTTATATGTCTCAGCGTTTTTCTGTTATTAATTAATTTATTATTGTTATCTATTTTAGACTCTCATCTCTTCCACGGTCCATAAAAATTTGAATTTTTAAATGAGAGAGGCGGTAGTGCACAGTCGACCGGAGTCAGGGACTCAGGTTCAAGAACCGGCAAGCAGAACCGCTTTCTGCATTTTTCATTTTTTATCAGTTGTACTTATTGTTCACACACAAAGTTACAATGTTAAAAGCACTATTTAGATAAAAGTTTAATATAGAATCTGGCGGGATTACAGCCGTCGCAAATAGATAAATAGCTTATTAGATAAGTACCTGCAATATGCTTTGTCTTCTTTCAACGCCGACCAAATGTGGGGTATGAGGCACGGACGGGGCGGGGTGGACAGCAGGCGTCGCGGCCGGCGGTGATGTGGGCGACGTGATGTCCATTTTACGGCATCGAACCCCGCTTCCGTCCCACGCAGCTACTGTGCCACAGGAGCCTTTCTCGCCATTGAGACGCTGTGAAGTGTATTTATTTTTAAAAACTCTTCATCTTATTAATAAGATTTCACTATGGTTTGTCAGCAGTAATATTTTTATTTGTCTCGCCATTCATCAATTTGATCAATTACCAACAGAAAACCATCTAGTAAAATTAATTAAGGCAGTCGCAAGTTCATATTATGAAGTGCGTTTTCATTATTTAAGTTAATCTATAAGATCTTGTATTACACAAAGAGGTTATACATATATATTATTTATATAATAAGCTCATTTTATTCTAAGGACAATTATTTTAATATTTAAAGTCCATTAAAGTCTTAATTTTTTTTTAAGTAATCAACATTTTTTAAAAACATGTACAATGATGGACTGAATATTTTATTCTAGTATTTTTCTACTATATTACGACAACTTGTCATCAACAAATACTTGAACAAAAATTATTCTCGAGTTCTTAGGTTTTCGCGATTGTTACACATAGGAAATGAAACTATTTTTTCGGATTTAAATCGCGTATATTTGTTTTTTCAAACAAACCGACGTTTCGGGCCCTTTACAGATCCCATGGTTTATATTCAAATTAGTATTTCCTCTAATGAAAAATACCCAAGCAGACTTAAGACTGCAGTACTAATTAATATGTTTTAGTTTATTCTGATTCCTATTATTAATTATTAATAAATTGAACTTAATAAAAATTCATTTAATAAAATAATTTGTAAAACTTAATGTAGCGTAAATTGGAATGTTTTCTTTGTAAAATTAAAAATGAGGTATTTAAATAATAACTATTGTAACTATAGTGAAAAAATAGGATGGTTTGCATCAATATTAGACATAACTGGTTGAAGACTGTACCACCTCAGTCAACCATGACCATGGGACCTGTAAAGGGCCCGAAACGTCGGTTTGTTTGTAAAAATAAATATACGCGATTTAAATCCGGAACAATAGTTTCATTTCCTATAAAAATTATTCTATTTAGAATCGATTGATTGAATGGAACACGCGTGTTTACGCGTATTCCGTTCAATGAATCGATTTAGAGCGAGCGGAAGGAGATTTCAATTGCTAAATAGTTTTTGTGACGTTATAGTGGGTACAAAAAATGTGACACGCTTGGTTTTCATACAAATTGCTGTACTTGCGGCGTCTATCTAGATATATGTCTGTGGGTGGAATTATACGTGTATAGGATAGTGGTCTAGCCGGTGTTTTTTAGTATTAAAAATTTTCGTGTTGTACTAACCTATTGCAATTGCAAAATTACTGTATTTTAACATTACTATTTTTTTTACAATACCAAGTAACGGGGCGAACAAGTCGCGCGCCTGGTGGTAAGCGACACGCCTATCCATAACAGTTGTAGTGTCACTAAGAGCTTTAAATCGCAAAGATCTTAAGGTACTGCGCGCGTCACCCTGAGATATAAATTGCCAAGTCCCATGTGCCTGTAATTACATCAGCACTCTTTTGCCATCCTCTAACTAACACGTGGCTAAGTGACAAAATATTTTTTTGAGATATCATAAAAAAACTATAAGCCCGGTTTTAGAATATCGAAATTCTTTAATGATATTTCAGCTTTGAATCGTTAGGGTAAGTTCCGATAAGTCAAACACGTAATTTTAAATGTTTTTAAACGACTTCAAAAAAGGAGGAGGTTCTCAATTCGACTGTTTGTTTTTTTTTGTATGTATGTTACGCGGTAGTTCCGGTATTTGTGAACCGATTTTCATGATTCTTTTTATTGCTTTGAAGAAAATCATCCACCTCTAAGGGTGGCTGTTCACGTATGAAGATTAATTTTTATAAATAGCGCCTAAATTTTATAATAAAGAACAATTATTTTAATGGTTGATTTTGCTATTCTCCAATTCAAGGCGTTTTTCTCTATATATATACTTTGAGTAGTGAGAACCGATTTTTATTATCCCCTGTGTCAAGTCTCTATAGTGGCGAACTAGGGGATGAATTCAGGTTTGTTCACTTTCCGGTAACCGATTTCAATATAACTTGGTAATTATACGTAATTCCACGTACTTTTGAGGTCGGTTTTTTAGTACTCTGTACTGAGATTATTAAAAGATAATTTTGTGTTTTATTTTTTGCTATCTAAAACGGTTATTTGACCATTTGTCACTTAACCGCGTTTTAGTTAGTGGATGGCAGCCTTACCCTTCCAACCGGAATACACTAATGCTCATAGGTAAAGTGGCAATACTTCAATGGACGTACTCTTTTACATGGAGCACTACTGCTACTAAACTATAGAACTGTGGATCATGTTTTAAAATAAATCATTCTATTCTATTCTAAATCGAATTTTGTTAATATTTAAATATATTATTAAAAAACTGTTTATTGCTTTCTGATCTAGACGGATCGATTTGCCTTTCTATTGAATATATTCGCTTGAAATTCGTATTGAGATAAGTTGATACAAAAAATCGTTCCATCGTATATGCTCGAATAGATTTTTAATAAAAATTTAATAGTAATGTGCGTCCTTAGTAGTGGAATTCGCAGAATTGCAAGGTAGATATTGTGTGGGGTTGCCTCTTTTTCGTCTAAAAAATGTTTTTTACGTCGAAATTTGTAATAAGTATGGAATTATACCAATTTCTATATTTAGGGTAGAAATTGGTTAAAACCCAGTTGAAATCCGGGCGAATTGATTGGGATTTTAACTTTTAACCCACTGCCCATCACTGTTCGTATCCTTGGTACAATAAAACCACCTGTGGTAGTACGTCAAAAGCGCTTTTATCACACGAAAGTCATAAAAATAATACGAGCTACATGAAACAAATTACGTATACCACAAATTTTATAAGTCTTTTAATATAGCATAAAAAAGTTATCAACTAATTTTGTTCGTAAAAATCTTTAAATCTCTCTCCTGGAAAGTTGTCATTTTATAGATTTAGCCTTACTACACTAGTGGTGCGACTATTTTGAAATAACATTTTTTATTTCCGCCCTGTATAATTTAATCGTATTGATGTTCATTGTTTTTTCTCAAAGTGTGTACAATGAATTTCATATTAATGGACCGAATTTTGTGAGTAAAAATATTTACTTATGAAAGATGGTAATAGGGGTTGAAGGATGGGCGGAAATCAATAAATAGATTGCTTCGCTCCATTATTAAATGTAACTCCTTAGGGCGTTTCATTTTTAGAAAGAAGTAGAGCTCTAAAAGTGTAAGTGCTTCATATTCCGCTAGCGATTTTCTAAGAATCAAACGAAATAAATTTTTGCCATAAAAATATTCGCTAAGTCGGAAAATATTAAATTCATAACTAAAAATAATATTGTGTATTTTTGTTTTGTTTTGACATCAATTGCGAGACAAACAAGTCGTGCGTCTGACTGAACTAATCGCAACAGTCGGGCACTGCCACTGCTCTCATCATCTTGAGACATAAAGCTGACAAGTCACATGTTCACGCGCATACGTTAGTTTGTTCCGTAAACTTCTTATCAGGTAACCTATCACAAAGTCGAAAACTTTTTGTCCGAAATAACGTTTGTTCGAATTTTCATTACACCGAAAACCGAATTATAATGAAACAGTTGTACTTTCAGGATACGTTGAATGTTTATCACAAAGACACGAATAGGTTCGGTTAAGTTAGGTTTAAAAGAAAAAACATTTTCCTTTCAAAATTACTTTCGAGATTATGAAATTTCGACCAAATGTTATTTATGGAAAATGTCATTTCGGTGATGTGATAGGTAACCTCTTCTCATCATATTCAGTTAATTTTAGATAAAATTAGAGAGCAATTGGAATTTGTTAGTTTTGTTAACACTAGATCGCGTTATTTATGGCTCAAAAGGTTTAATAGTTTTTTTTGTAGGTCCTTATCCCATGGCGCAGTTACCTCCACAAAAAAATAGTTTTTGTACTCAATTTGACGAAGGAAAGGGATAAATGAACATCAGTGAAGGTAGTTTTAGGATCCGAGAGTACACCCCATGTGCCTGTAATTTCACCAGCATCCCTTAATCCTTCAGTACCGGAATAGGGGTGTTCCGATATTACCAAAGTATCGATACCTACTCAAATATAATATACATGTAACTATAGATGATGTTATTTAAGACTAAATTGTTATGCAAATGTGGATAAATAAAGCTCTTTGTTATTATTTCAAAAGTATCGATACTTACTCATATCGATACTTTTTTATGAGATATAAAATATGTCCATATTAGATTTTGGCGACGCCATAATAATAGGACAAAAGTAATAAACTTTTAACAAGCACCCACTGCACTATTCAGTAAACTGCAATATTCTTTTTTTTAATTATTACAGCTAAATCGATACAATCGATAATTCCGCTAATAGATCTAGATTTAGATAACCCATAAGCACTCACCATTTCTTTTTGTGAACTTCGTTAATTCGCTGAAAATTATGTAATTCATCCAAATATGATCCAAAATACCATAGATAGACATACATTTCTTTTCTCCGGTACTTCACGATTTGCATTTATTTTCTACAAAACTGGGAATTAAGTACTTACGGAAAATAATGGAAAGGTAAAATAATTTGGGAAAAAGGTGTTCCTTTCTTTTTTAATTATTAATTTATGGATTAAGGTTAAATATTTACGTACGCGTTTCGATTGGATACAAGTATTTTTCTTCCGATACTCAGTAAAAATCCAAACAAAAGTATCGAGAACTTACTCGTATTTACTTCTATCCAAGCGTCCCTATATCGGAATGCAGTAATTATTATTGCTCATTTGAATCAGGCAACTATATCTACGATAACATGAAGTGTAGATATACGAATTGCACTTGTCGGCGACGTGCGGGGCAATCCGGTGTCAGGT